TGTTTACTGCTCAATCGAGAATATTTGCAAGCAACTGGCAAAAGCAAGTCTGTGGCCTGAGATTTGGGCAGTCTAAGAACATTAATTACAAATAATTTCTTAACGTCCTTCCCCCAAATTTCATGAATGATAACCATGTTGCAAATTAAATCTTGCAGGTGTTTCAAGGGAACAAAGTAGCCAGGTTAATCAGTAGATTTGCAGGGCGACTGTTACGCATTTCTTCTGCGCTACTAGGTTGGATAATGAAGTCTGAAACTGAGAACCTTTTCCAAGATATTTTCAAGTTTAATAAAAAGACCAATACAGGAGTGCCCCTTATCCATGGTTCACTTTCCATGGTTTCAGTTATTTGTGGTACACTGTGGTCTAGAAGCAGATGATCTTCCTGATTTATCATCACAAGGTCAAGAGTGGCCTAGCACTACATCACAACGCCTACGTCTCACAGCATCACAGGAAGAAGGTCAGTACAGTAAAGATATTTTGAGAAAGAATCCACATTCACATAAGTTTTATGACAGTATGTTGTTATAACTGTCCTATTTTTAGTTCTTATTGTATAGTATTTAATTTATAAGTTAAACTTTATCATAGGTGTGTATATATAGGTAAAAATACAGTATCAGGAGGGTTCAGTACTATCCATGGGTTCAAGCATGCACTGGGGGTCTTAGAAGGTCTCCCCCAGGGCCCGGGAGGACTACTGTAGTCTAAATTAAAATGTGTCTTCAAATAATATGATACATGCTAATTAGTGATGGGTTTTCCAAAAGGGATCTCTTCAAAGAAAAAATCACTGTGAATGTAGGAAATCTTTGAAAGTGAGATAAATGCTTTATTATACAATATTCCCCTCTTTAAATATTTGTTGTTATTATCATCACGATGGCTAGCAATTTAATGATATGATTTGCAAATGTTGTTTCTCTTTATACCCTTTTAATCTTTAATTCATCCTTACTGTTATCCCTTATCTACACAGCTTACTTCCCACCATGGTCTGGTGGTGAACAGCAACGTTATGACGTTGAAGAAATATTTCTATCTATTCTTGTTTCAAATTACAGGAAAATTAGACGAAGGAAGTAAAACTTTGGTGTTTTTAGGCAATTGTGTCTGTTACTAAGATATCAATGCCATGAACCCATAAAGAACACTAAAATTTAAGATCTTAACAAAGAGAAGAAAACAATCATTTGCATTGCCGGCATTGGCCATTTGTCTTGAATTTTTATTTCCTTCTTGATTTATGGACATGAATTTAGATAATAAGATATTTTCCCAAGCAGAAGGAAAAAGACCAAACACGGGCTATTTGGAGATGACTACTACTTGTGGTCTTGTTTGTTACTCTTGTTTTTAAAGAGATAATTATTACAAGGCATCCTCCCTCAGGAAAGACAATTTCTAAGTGTTATTGTGCAAAGTAAAATTGGTGTTTGTGACACAAAACACGTGAGCATCTCTTGCAAAACCACTAAGACACCTCTGCAACTTTTCAACTCCTAGGCGAATCACTAGGCTAGAAATGTTCCCAAGTCCTTCTCTACTTGTGGCCTCAAAAAGGGGCTGGGAAAAGAGCAAGCTCTTAGTTCCCTGAAAATTCTCCAGTGCATCGAGTAATGAGACGCACGTACCATTGCTCAGCCAATGCCCATAGACTACAAAAGTATTTTTCTTCCCCACTGTTTAAAAAAACTTTGGAGCCAGCAATGGAGACTGTTGGGGATAAGGAGTCCACAAAATATAATTACGAATTAACACTATCACTTCTTAGAGCCGATGTCCTGAAATGTATAAGCTAGTAGTTAGGTTCCTTAAGTGAATACAGCTGTGACTCACAGTCCCCCTCCTAATAGAAACTTCGTGAAGAAAGCCTACGTCTGTGTGGTGATCCAAACAACCCTTCAAATAAAATTGTAAACTTTATTATTCAGTTTAAAAATATAAACTACATGCCCAAAAGGGTTAACTTGGCTGGAGTCTACCCACCTTACTTGTTAGGGCCAAGGTTTGAGAGAGACGGATATGACATGACGTTCTTAACCTACTCCATCAAACAGACACAGAGACCCAGAGAAAGAAGGGTGGAGAAGTAAATGAAATTTAAAGAGCCAATTTTCAGGGGGCCTTCATTTTGAGAGTTGGGCTATTTTTGTCCTTGTTTTTAGCAGCAAATCAATTCCTGCCTCCATACCCAAGCATTTGTGAAGAGGAGAGCAGGGGAACCGCAGGCACAGCTGTCCAATTTACATTCACAAATGCAGGTGTTGCTCAGACACAAAACAGAGGTCAGCTGAATGCGGCTCCTAATTAGCTACCTTTTCTACTAGGATTTTTCTTCCTAAAGTTATGCATGCAATTTGGGTTCAACTTAGAGACCATTTTTAGATCCCAGCATGCTATCCACCAAGAAGCGGGCTGTCATTATAAAGCATAATTTACAGCATAGTTAACTTTACATGTATTTTAAAATCTACATTACACCTAAGGCACATTTCTCTTCTACACACACATTACCCACTCTGTTTTCCATCCCCTTCTGCCTATCTAAAATTTAGTGCAGAATGTAGCCGGAAAATCTTTTATGACAGAACAGGAAGAATTTTGCCCTTTTTCTAAGATTAAGGAAGTCCACAATTTTAATAATGAGGACTAAAGACTTGGTTAAACGGCACAAGAAAAGTAGCTATTTGCTATTGTCTTCAGTGGGGAACACCCTGGGGCTTATTACAGCAGTTCTTAGAAATGGCAGGATGGAGACTGGTATCGAATACAAGCCATTAGGAAACCCAAGCCCTAAATGAAATGACCACAAAATCCTATCAGTTAACAGAAATGCAGCAGCTGTACATGTTTTTTGTAATACAATAGGATATTGTTGCAGAGATAACACTCTTAAAATTAAAAAAAAAAAAAAAAAAAAAGCATCCAGCAAGCAATGTGACCGCTTTATTCCCCTATTTGAAAAATGAGAAGGTATGGTGTAGCAGAGCTTTGGAATACATAAATAAGCATGAAGATTGCGGAAAAGACAGGTATTGTATGTACACTAATGGGCTGCTGGGATCAGCTGTCAAAGTCACTGGCTAAACTTGAAGCCACTGTGACTCCCAGCTTCTGCAGGACGTTCAAAGACCTACCCCGGTAATTCCCAGCAGGAAGCGAAAGGTAACGGTCCCCCTCGGATTTTACCTGCCGTACGTATAATCCAAATACTAATTCTTATCTTGGCTCCCAGTTCTGTATCTTTTAAAACTGCATGCTAGAGAAGTTTAAATTCAGTTCGACCTTAAACTTTATAATGATGTAATAGTACACGTTATTTATAATGATATACATTTTTATATACGGTATTCTGGGCTATTTCAGAGGCTTACTAAAGTCAAGTCGTTTGGCAAAAGATGATATGTATCACAGGGATTGTGACAAATTCATCTCTCTTGATTGTGCTCACTACAGGCCGTCCATCAAGATTCAGAACCAAAATCCTTCAGAACCATAGAAAGACAAAAACCCCTGTTCTCTAGCCATCTTCTGGGTTGGAATGCAAAGTATTTTGTTGTGGTAAGTAGGGCTTTGAAGATGAAAGTGCTGGGTCCACTCCTGTGATTGTTACCCCAGTGCTCAGCATTCAAAACGGGAGCCCCCGGATCTCAGAGATCATTTTAATCCTTCTATATTAAAACAAAACGTGTCTCCCATGCGTTGCTCTAACCGCCTTCCTCTGGCATCTCATTGGCCCCTCCCGAGGGAAGATGAACTCGACTGTTGACTGTCCCAAAAGAATTCCAAACAATTTCCTTACTTGCCTCCCTGTTCCACTGAAGATTATGAGCCTAATTCTTCGAGACTGCTACTAAAATTCCACCCCGCTGGTTCCTGCAGCCTAATTCTTTCAGCATTATGTTTTTTGGCAGAATGATGTGACCCAAATTTGCAGGAGACAACTTGCTGCAACAGTGCTTCCTGCAATGCAGTGAACCCGAGATTAGCATTCCAGGATTACAAATATCAGACTTTAAAATAATAATAATAATAATTGTTTGCTTCGAGAAAAGACAGATTTCGAGCTCGTATTATGGAAATGGAAATGCTTGGCAAAATGTGGACAATTTTATGAATTAAAGGAAGCTTTCCAGATCAATGGAAAACAATCAAGAAGTAGCAATTTACTTCAGTAAGTGGTGGCAAAATGCTACAGCGGTTCTTTTAAAGATTACGGAAATAGCTGTGCGTGTCTGTGTGTGTGAGATTGTAAAACCATCATGCATTCCATTTCTCAACAGTGGTGGCTGATACTATTCTAAAAGGACATTTTTCAGAGCTGAGGTGTCTTAAAATAAAACAAAACAAAAACTGATGAACTATGGCTGTCCCTGTGTTCACCCACCAGGCTGCTCAACAAGGCTTGGCTGTGTGAGCGAATGTTGGTTCAGGTATCCATTATTTCACCTTTTCTCGGTTTCAGTCAACTTGCACATAAGGCATCAAGTGCGACCTGACGTTCTTCTTGATTCGAATTTTGTGGATGAGGTTTTGTAAAGAGCCAGAGCAATATCCCCATTGGGAACAAATATGAAACTGCGTGGACTAAAGCTTCCTGGCCACGCTTCCGTGGCTCGCTCCTCGGCCTGTGTAAGCCATCTCTACCACTTATCTTTCGTGAACTCTAGCCTACCCCCTCTACTGCTGGAGAGACGCTGGCACCTCCGATGTCACTCGGCTGCGACCACCGCCACCGCGTCCCTCCTCACCCGATTCTCATTCACCCTCTCAGAATCCAAACATCAAGACAGAGAAACGGAAGAACAGGGGACACTTAGAAGGGGATTCCTCATTCCGAAAGGTTAAGAATGACAGAGCAGGAGAACAGACACAACAGAAAAAAATAAAATCAAAGGAAAATGTGCACAGTGTTTTCAGCTAGAAGCTAGAGGCGCATGCGCACGTGGTCTTGGGAGGCCTGCATGGCTGCCTCTCTCTAGTGCTCTTACCTTATTTCTCTTGAAGTAGGCTCGTCGGCAGGCCGCAAAGCACTTCTCGCTGCAGAAGCTTTTCACCTCACTTCCCATACTCAGGGAATAGCGCTTGATTCCCACTTTCTGGCACCAGGCACACATTATTTGTACATTTGACACATCATCTTCTATAATAAAAGTATAAGAAAAATGTTCATATCAGAAGCAAACATCCCTTCAAACTTAGACACACCCTGAGCCTGACAGAGCTACCTGAGGCCAAATTTCAATTTCTGCACCTCACCGCTTTCTCACCTCCATAGGGGAGCCAGCTCCTGAGGGGAAGCCTCAGTGCTTGCTTTCGCTTGCTTTCTCTCTCTCTCTCTCTTTTTTTTTTCTTGGTTGGCTCTTAAGTCTCCAAAAAAACATCATTTACTTAAAATCCAGAATATGAATGCACACCCAGGAGGGCTCCCGGGGCTTCTTAGCCTGGCAAAATTGCATTTTCTACCTGGTTAAGCCAGGCCCAGGTGTCATGAAGCTGCTAAAATGACCCGTTTCCTCAAAGGTGCTGCTGAAAGCTTGTGAGGGCCACACGAGGTGGGACACCCGAGTGCTAACCCACAAATGTGATGCCCTCGTGTGCACCTTGAGGGTCAGGAACCAGGCTCCATCTTGGTCAGCCTAGTGCTTACCACTGTTAGAGGACATGGGGTGGCATTTACCCTTGTGATGTAATGCTTCCCAAGTGGTATGGCTAAGTCAAAAAAGGAAGGATGTGAGTGGCCAGGTGCCACCGGTGGAAAGGCCCTAGCCTGGCTCACTCAGCAGTGTCTTTTGACAAAACCTTCCTGCATGGGTGTCCTCAGAGAGGCACAGGCCTGATTTAAATTCTCTCCATGTGATGTAGCTCATGTCCCAAAATGGAGGGATGGTAATGGAGGTGTCAGGCATGAGACCTGAGGTCACACAGCCGTAAAGATCATTCTCGACTAGGCTGGTCGTCCTAGCAGCTCCTGCAGGACCTGCGGCCCAGGTCATGGAGATGTGCAGAATGACGTTAAGTGGTATGCGAGAATTTTCAGTAATTAAAATCCTGCATTTCTTTCCTTTTGCAAGAGAAGAAAACAAATTTAACTGGTGAAATAAGCCCATAATATCACAAATATTACTGCTAAAAGCAAAGAGAGGATTTTAAAGTGAGTCAGTTAACAAAATATATTGAGTAAATCATAATGCAGGTGATAAGAAGTTCTGACAAAAATGTGACAGTGATACTCAAATGACTCAAGTCTGAGATATACTGGTCTATTTAGGGGTGGGAGCAATAAAAGGAGACTTTAATTAGAAGTCTACAAAATAGGTTCTTGCTGCCTCCTAGGAACTTTTGCTATATTTTGAGTCTTCTTATCCTCCCAATTGACAATGTATGTACATCTGACTGATTGCCACTATCAGCCACATTTCTTCTTCCTTTATGAATTTTTTTTTAACTCTCCCAGACTCGTGCTCCAGACATGAATGATAATCACAAAATCCCCAATAAGCTCTGGTATAGTGTCATCTGATTTCTGAATAAAATCCCCCAAAGACTAATTGCTAAGCAAGGCCTGGTCCATGAGCTGTTGACATATTCATGGTTCATACAGTCTGTCATGCAATCATTCCATTTCCAGGGAAAAGATTTGGTTTGAGACAGTGCGGTCATCAGCCTGCAAAATTAGAAGCAAACTAATTTGTAGTGCAGTGATACGGCTCTTTTCCCCCTGAGTATCATCACTCAGAACTATGTGCAGCATTTTATTTACCTTAATGGAATAAATATTGTCATTTTAATGACCACTTTTTTTCACAAATTACGTAATGTGATCCATTGTTAATTACCAGATGAGACATGTAAAAATGACCTTTGATATTACTCAAACATTTTTGATAACGTAACTTTCTTTAAATAGAGTCATAACACGAATTCACAGGTCGTACAATTACTGCATTTTATAATTTGTCCTAGTCAAAGAAAGCTTTATTTCTATTTTATATGGTCCCTAATATGGTGTCTGTCTACACATAGATATTTTACATGAAATGTCGATAGACGTGAAATGTTATAGACATGAAAACTGAACAAAACTCTATAATTTACCTCAGGGTATGAAGGAGGTTTTTTTTTTTTTTAAATCAGATTAGAAATAGTATATTTTAAAAATAATCATCTGTCATTCCTAAACTAATGAGAACTACTGGTTTCTATTGTTCCCAATTGATTGGCTGCTTTAAAATAGTAAAGTCCTAAAAAAGATGATACAGCAGAACGTTCCCAAATGATCCGTTGGCAATATGTTTGATTCTGGTGAAATCTGAAAGGAAAAGAAATTTTTATGGGGGAAATTACTTGGCCTCCAAGTTCAAAAAGGAGTCCCCACTTCCCACGGAGCCTCTTTAGAACAACCATTTGGTTCCCCTTGTTGTTCCTTCCCTTGGATTGTCTTGTTTGAGAAACAAAACCTAAAATTTTTCCTTCTAGATCTTTAATGGATACAAATAAGATAAAATAAAATAATCCACCATAATGGACTAAAATTGAGATGGGAAAGGGGAGAGAACAAAGCACTAATGAGGCGGGCACACAGCCTGGCAGGAAGGAAGGAGGCTGGGGAGAGGGCAGCTCGCCATCTCCCTCACACTTCCCTCCATCACCACCAGGCAGAGTAGCCAGTCAGTTTTTCAAGAGGAGGCAAGGATTCTCTCTTACAACAGACCTAACAGAGAAACAAAAAGTAGAATTTTAAGGGAGATTGCTTTTACAAATCAGCTGTACTAGAAAGCAACAATATGAGAAGATGAGACAAAGGAAATTGTGCACTTTTGTTTTGTATATGGCAGTTGGAAAACTCTTAGAATGGTGGTTAGCATCTGTCTTGTTAAATAATTCAGTATTCCCATCCATTTCTCATAAAATTCCATTTCATAAAGGCAAACACTTGGGAAAAAAATTCCACTGGATTTCTCCTTTTCTGTCATCAAACTGTTACCAAGAGCTGGTGCTCCAAAGATGGGAAAACATTTTCAGGTATCTCAGGTACTCCAGTCTTATAAAAGCCATTTTTATTCATGTTATACTTAAGAAACTAAGAACTATAATTATCTAAGTTAATTTTTCAGCTAAAACATAGCTCAAAATTCGGGCCCTAGACATGAGATGGCATCCCATCTTAAATAGGTATAACTGTACCCTTAGCAAAATGAGCTTTTCTTAAGAGCTTAAGACCAAAGGGATAGGCTTGTTTCAACAATCACATTTTTAAAAAATCTGAAACCTGGTAATTATGTGCATGCTTTACACTGGCAACATAGAAGTCCCCAGCATTTTAGCTTTTCTAACTTGATCTGCTGTAAAAAAAGAAAATTTATTAAAAAAAAAATTTCTTTGAACTAAAGAGAACCTGACTTCCTATCTTATATTTAGACTAAAGACTGTGCCATTAGAGACTTGAGATTACCTCAAAGAAGACTGGTGTTACAGATTTTTCCTTACAGCTGTTAGCGGAGTCTTTTTCATAATGAACAATGCAACAACAAATGCAAAATATTTACAGCATTAAGTCACATTCCCAAGGCCAATAGTTTGTATAACATGATAAAATTTTCATATGATAATACCATATAAATATGCATCAATCAAAATATGCATGTTTCTATTAATCATGAAAATTTTGTACCACCTTTTTAGGATTTAATTAAGCAAAATGTTTAGGGCATTTTCTTTACAATCTAGTGTTCAAAGAGCTCTAGAACATTATTCCATTTTTACATCCCAGAAGGAGAAGTTCAGATTAATTACTTTGAGATGAAATCAAAATTGTATTTATTTATCATCGTGCAGAGAAGTATGAGATCAAACATTTCTGGAATGCCTTGCTGAAATTGTTTGAGAAACTGCCTTTTCTGGTGACTTTCAAATATAAGGACGGCCATTGGTCGGTGGCATTCTAGGGTCAATTGAATTGATTATGAGCACGCATACTAGCTTACCTGACCAGAGCACAAAGAAAATCAGGAGGGTCTTAATGGACCCCAAGGGATTAAACTGAGGATTTACCACCCTTTTGTAACTTTCATGAGAGTTCAAGACTGAGGACAAAATCTGAAAAGATTTGCTGGTGATGTTTCTCTCCTCCAACAGTTCCTGGAATGCACACATCCAGACAATCATTTCAAGATTTGAATTATATTTGAGACAAGTTGCAAGGCAGTCTGAAAGGACTCCTGGGTATTCTCCACACCATGAAAGGACAGTACAGCACGGGTAGCATTCTGTCACTCTATTTGTCAGAGTAGCTATATTTAAGAACACAAATGAAGACATAGGCTGGAAGGCAGGCAAGAAACTAGGGTTGAAGTTTGCTTTCTTTGTAGCCCTTCTTGGAATAATTCAACTCCAAAAATTTTTATGCAATCTCACTCAAAAGCCTCTACAGAGTCCTACAGAAGCTTCTGTAAAATTCCTTAGGTTCTGGAAGTGAACATACAAGGAGACCTGGAGAAAATTTGGAACACTGAGCAAAAAGGAAAATAAACATAGCTAGCCATCATTCAGTATTTTACGGTGGCAGGCACAGTGCAAAGTTCTTTAAATCTATCATTTCATCTTAATCACAACCACTGTCCCCCAGACAAATATTAACTGATCCCCTCTGGGTAAAGTGCCCCGATGGGTAAAGTGAGGTTTAGGTTAGCAATTTACTCCAAATCACAGAGCCAGTACATACCAAAGCCTAGACTCCAGAGCCCAGGCTCTTGACTACAACATCTTAGAGACCAGGGCCTTTCTAAAAGCATGAGATTACACTCCATCCACATGGACTTCCTCTGCAAAAAGGACTAAAAGCTGTCACAAGATTCTGTTACTTACACAGCACCCTGCTCCATGACACACTAATAGACAAAGGAAATGAAATCAAAAAGGTCAAAATGTCTTTGAGGAAACAGCTCAAGTGTTATTCAATCAATATTTGTTGATTGATTTTCAAAAAAAGTTAAAGTCTCACAATGCAAGCCTTTATTTCTTTATGACTATGAGACTTGGATTTGCTGCATTCTGTCTGAACTTTCACCAGCAAGTGCCACTTAAACATTAAACAAGGAGCCAGAGCCAATAATACCTGGATCTCAGGAAGCAGTCATTCTA